TCACAATCTATTGAAGCCAGGTCTATTTAAAGTTGAACTAAGATAGTCTGACACAAAAAGTTTTGGAACAAGACTTCATATATAACAATCATTTACACACGAAAAGAAAATGCTGTCCCTAAGTTATTTTATGCAGTATCTCTTTGGCAGTTTGCCTCAACCTTGTGCCTTCTATAACACCTAGGACCACAACTTCCCAAGTTCCTAATCTGCATGGCCATATCTGAAAATTGTGAACGATCATATCTAAAATACCATGTCTGTTGGAATCCAGGTTGAAGAAGATAGTTCAGTGAGTGAGTCTCTAAATTATACCATACTGTAAAGAGGAGGAATATGTAAGGCGTGTCTAAAACATTCTAATGGCTAAGTTCTCATAAATCAAAATTAACCTAGCATATCCTTCAGACCTACCATCATGTGGATAATCTATAGTTGAGTATGTCATTCAAACCCCTGAATTAAATCAACTCAGCAACCATGAATGAGCATGTTCTATTAGCAGGCAACGTGTTTGAAATAGATATAATATTCAAGCTGTTTTCCATGAAAATCAACCCATTATGTTGGACAGTTGTTACTCCAAAGAAAATGTGGGTAGGCTTTCAGGCATTATAACATTTTCTATAACAAGTGGCAGCCTTTAACAATGTTGGCTGATCCCCAAAGAGTAATAAGAGTCAGACTTGGCTGGCACTTGGATGTGAGAGAAATCAGGAAATGTCATGACTGTAGATTAGACCAGGTAATCAAAAAATTAAACTTCTTCCTTATTGTGGGGTGGGGGAAGGTGTGCTTTCAAGTCAGTGTTGACTCCTGACCATTGCCTGGACAAGTCCCTTCAGTGTTCTTGGCAAGGTTTTGGATGTAATTTTTCATTGCCTTGTTCTAAAAGTGAGAGAAAGTGATGGGCCCAAGGTCACCTTGCAGGTTTGGTGCATGGAAAAATTCTGGCAAGATTTCAGAAGTGCTTTACTATTGGCTTCTTCCTAAGGCTGATAGTGAGTGAGTGGCCCAAGACCACCCAGTTGCTTTGTGCCTAAGGTGAGACTAGAACTTATCGTCTCCCAATTTCTAGTTTGGTGTCTTAACCACTAAACCAAACTGGCTCTCTTTCTTATTATTAAGGATATGTTTGTTTTCATGGAGTCACTAGGAGTCATCTTAAAACAGGGATCTCTACCTTTTAAAAATTCTGCTACTTGATCTTTCAGAGGCTTTCAATCAGATTACTGCCCTACAATATTTATGAGAAATAATATAAGATGGAAATTGGTGGCTTTGGAGGTGTACTAAGCATATTCTATAGTATAATTTCATGAACTGCTCAATGCTGAGCTCTTTCATTATTCCTTTCATGTTTGGTCTTGATTTCAAGCTACATTGTATTATTTTACCATTCTATTTTTTATATATTTCATACTTTTTAAAAAAATGTTGTAAAGCACTTGTGGTTAATAGCTGGAAAACATTATAGAAACTAATAACGATGGCAATAATATTTAAAACAGTTTTGCTGGAAAGTTTCTAATCCAATAAACAACTTTGGAAGAAAATAAGGAAAGGAAAAATCTTTAAAATAATTGAAGAGACCAATTTTATTATGCATAATATTCTGGGGGGAAAATCAGGAGCCAGGACTATAAGCCACTGGGGCTGAAATGTAAATCAGTAGAATGTCAAAAAAAATATGACTGAAAACATATTAGAGCCAGTTAGTGGGTAAAGTAGAAAAAAATTTAGTGAGAAGTTTACATAAGAACTCTGTTCCAAGTCAAAGTACTTCTGGATTTATTAACACATATTGTTAACTGTGTTTGAGAACAAATAGATTTATATCTAATCCAGATGCCAACTATTTGAAACCAAACAATATATATATTTTTTCTATGAAAAGCTGTAGAGCTTGCTGGTTATCCAATTTCCCATTTCTTGGCTTCCACCATTTTAGCAAGTATTTCAAGAAGAAAGCAGTTTTGACAATTCTGTACCTCTCCTTCACCTCCCCGCTTCCGTTCCCCTTCCTCTGTCCCTTCCATCAGACATGTGCATATCACATGAAATAAGGGCGTGGATGGCACTCCCAAGTGATTTATTTTATACTCCCCTTTTGTGTAGAATAAGTGGAGGAAATGCAGCAACTTTGGATGAGATAATAGTTGAATATTATTCTTTCCTCTCGCTCAGTGCTTAGAGGTCAATAGAATACCACTGTCTTCAACTCATTTCTGAGGAATTCAGAACTAAAACAATAGTGGTGTGCAAGACTGTTAACAATATGTAGGATTTTTTTATATATGTGTCTGTGTTGTGAAGCTGTCTCTTGCATTTCAGTAGTTCAGTATGTATTCCTGAGATACATACAATGGAAGATTATTCAATTGCAACTGAAAACTGTTAATTGTTGTTAAAATTCTCACCAGTAGTCTTCTGGATTGACTCTTATTTGTAGGCAAGGTTCAGACAAATACGCACACAGAAGGCAAGTTAGATACTTATGAACAAATTAAGGGGGAAAATGAAGCCAATTACTGTTTGTGTAACAATACAGGCGGTGACACGACTTCTGTGTCTTCATAAGTAGCAAGCCAAAACAATCTCAACTTCCTACCTTATTTTTATTCACTGTCCCTTCATTCCATCTAATTTCCCTAGGCCTAATCACATAGCGGTCAGATTTAAACAAAAAGCATCACCCACAGCTGGGCTAGTAGCAACCTCACACCATACCATTTTAAAAAAAATACTACAAATCTGCAGGTTCACATTCTTCATTTTTACAATAGAGGATTTCATGTCATCTTGAGAGGAACACATTTATTATTGCAAGTGGACAGTGATCCATGAATGCTTATGTAATAATAAATGTATTAGTTTTTATGATTCCATAAAACTAATCATTATATTTTCTCTAAAAGCCTAACATGACTCTTTGGAAAGTGTTAGTCATGTCATTAAGGAAATAAACATTTTGATGGATAGCTGGCAAATATTTATTCTGATTAAACTTTTTCATGGCTTATGAGGTAACATGAGATTGGCACAGAATTTAAACATGATTGCTCTTGTCTTATTTTTGCTTGTCTGGACTGGCACGTTTTAAGTGTTGTTGTCTTACATTTAATATACAGAGATGCTTAAAAGTTTGTGAATCCTTTGAGTTTTCAATATTTCTGCATAAAATATTCTGCCTTAAAACATGATCACTTTTCTACAGAAGTCCTAAAACTAGACAAAAAGAAGCCAATTAAATAAATGAGTCAAAAACATATTTGTTCATTGATTTATTGAGGAAATGATCCAAAGCTAAATATTTTATGTGGAAAAGTAGGTGAGCCTTTCCTTTCAGTAACTGATTGGCAGCAATAACTGAAACTAAACTTTTGCAATAACTATTGATCAGTCCTGCACATCAGCCTGGAGAAATTTTATCTCATTCCTCCTTACAGAACAGAATCAACTCACGGATGTTGGTGGGCTTTCTCATATGTACTGTTCACTTCATGTTCTCCCACAATATTTCTATAGGATTAAAGTCACAACTTTGACTTGGCCATTCTAAACTTTCTTCTGCTTTAACCATTCTTTGGTTGTGTGACTTGTCTGTTTTGAATTCTTGTCTTGTTGCATGATCCACTTTTTATTGACCTTCAGTTCATGGACAGATACCTTGTCATTTTTCTGTGGAATTCAAAATCCATAGTTTCTTCAATGATGGCAAACCACCTCTGTCCAGAAGTCCAGACCCGATATCACCACCATATCTTAAGATAGGGTTCTTATGCTGAAAGCAATATTTGCCTTTTGCCAAGCATATCTCTTTACATAGAAGCCAAAAAGTTAGTTGACCTTTTCTGAGTAGGGTAACGTTGGTACCAAATGGCATCAATTTTTACACAATCTGCCTAACAGTGTACTGGTGGAATCCAAACCATTTGAAATAATTTTGTAACTTTTTCCAGCATGATGAGCATAAAAAAAAAAATTCTGGGAAGTCCTCAGAAATCTCCCTTGTTCAAGCCATGACACAATTCCACATCATTGTTTTGAACAGAGCAGACTTTGATAGCAGATACCCAGAATTCTTATTTCTTTAAATAAGTCAGGACTTCCCAGACTCTCAACTGAGTGTCATCCCATTGATTGAAATGCCTGACTCTAATTCTTATTTAAATAAAGTGATAAAGGTTTACATACATTTCCACACACAAATATGTAGCTTTGTATCATTTTCTTCAATAAAGCAATGAGTAACTATAATGTTTTTGGCTGATTTATTTAACCAGGTTCTCTTTATCTAGTTTTAGGGCTCATGTGGAAATATTGTAAATTGAAAACAATTACAAAATTGCAAAAAAAGTTAATTTTTTCCCCAACCCTTTTCAGGTCCATTAGTTCCAGAATCTTTGTTTAGAAGAAAAAGTGATAGACAATTGGAATGATGATGAGAAGCAAAGTGTTTATTGTAAACACAAGTGCAAAATTAATATTTGCAGTGTGAGTTTTGCAAATATTGGAAAGGTTAATGTGACTGTATAATATTTATTAAAATGATGAATAAATAAACCAATAATGAAATGTATCATGAAATTTCTGCAGCAACTGTGTTTTTGCCTTCAAGTAAAACACGGTGGCAAAATTACATTCCATGGGACAAAGCACAGTCTATATTCCATCTAATTTATTTTAAGCAAACTCTGAACTCAGTTTCATTTAGCAGTTTAGAATCCAGTTTAGAATCCAGTTTAGAATCCAGTTTAGAACAGAGAGCTGTTGGAGGGCCAGCCGAACCGAATCCGCTCGAACACAGGTAAGGATACATGTTAGATCCTACCTAGTGGCGATGAGAGTGGCTAGGACTAACTACTATTCCTCACTCATCGCGTCATCAGATAGTCGCCCGGCCGCCCTCTTCAGGGTGACCCGCTCCCTCCTTCAATTGAGGGGGGGGATCCCCTGGAGGNAACATTAGCACTGTCTTGTTTCTATACAAACAGGCGATGGATCACTTGGAATCTTTCATTGCTGAGTGTGATAGAAGAACAGAACTGGCTAAAAAACGACTTGCAGAAACCCAGGAGGAGATCAGCGCTGAAGTGGCTGCAAAGGTATTTCTGTTGTGCAGTTGTGCTCTTGGTAAAATGCCGAGACTCTTGAAATTCACAAATTAACTGGCTGTTGTGCAAGGCTTCTGGTGGTTATCTATACCAAGGGTCCCCAACCCTCGGTCTGTGGACTGGTATCGGGCTGCGGCATGCCAGCAACTGGTCCGCCCAAACAAGCAGAGCCCCATCTGTGGGATGCGAGCAGCACACAAAACCACACATTCTCCGATCTGCGGGGAAAACCTTTCTCCGTGGAACCGGTCCCTGGTGCCCCAAAGGTTGTGGACCTCTGATCTATACAATTGATTGGGCAAAACTCATCTAGGTGGTCTTAGGGATCCTGTAGGTTCATACGTTGCTTTAGTGGCAATCTAGGCTTAACATCTGTGTGAAGACATCTGAGATAACTTAAGAGCTGGAAATACCATAGATGTTGTAAGCATGAAGTCCCTCTTCAAGCCACTTTGAAATTCCTTTAGAAAGATAGAATTTAGATTTAAAGGTCAAATAAACAGCGTAGCTGCTCTTTAGTATTTACATTAGGGATAACATTAGTTTATCCATAAGATTGTGTGGAGAATTGCTTATCTGTTCTATTCATGCTTCCCATGCTAAATAAATAAACCAAGCACGTGTGCTTTTACATTATATAACAATGGCTTTACTTACCAGTTAACTTTTGTCTCATGGCTTTCTGCCAGTGCTAAAATTCATTACAAAACCAGAGATGCAGTGGTTGAAGCAGGAGATTAAAAATGAACGTGGTTTCTCTTAAACCTGTTTCATGCCAGAACTTCTAAACATAAAATGCCTTCCACCTGGGATGTATGATGCTACCCTGAGTCCTTTCAAAGTTGCAGTCGGTTCAAATAGTCGGTTTAATGTGACAGAAAATTATTAGGGTGCGATCCCATGAATCACATTTAAGATAGATGAGTTGGACTTTTGTTTAACTTACACTAAAATTGGTTTGATTTGATTTTAAGTCCTTGACCTAGCTATTATTTTGATGCAGATCCCCTGACATGGCATTCCAGGTTTAGGAATGGCACTGAGCCCTAAAGAGGGGATATATCCCACCTTGGATGATTAAAAAAAAAATCCACTTGCTTGGAAGTATGACCAACATCCATTTGTGGGTTTGACTGTTGTCGCTGGGGGGTTATTGGGGGGGGGAAATATTGCTTTAATTGTTTTTCTGTTGGGTTCTTATCTTTGTAAGCTGCTTGGAGTCACTGAGAGTGAGTCGTATAAATTTTCTTCAGTCAAACAAATGACCCCAAACCCATGTCCATTCTTTAGGCAGAGAAAGTGCACGAACTCAATGAAGACATTGGGAAGCTTCTGGCTAAAGCTGAGCAGCTAGGAGCTGAAGGGAATGTGGATGAATCCCAGAAGATCCTGATGGAAGTGGACAAAGTCCGTGCAAAGAAGAAAGAAGCGGAGGTGTGTTCTTCCTGAATTGCATATGCAGATTTACTGCTTAGATTTGCTGCTTTTTAAGCCTAGGATGTAACTAACCAAGTGAGACGGGATTACCTCTATCGAAAAACGGAGAAGGAAATTGCAAAGTTGATCTTCCTTTTTTGACTAATGCAGCTTTACTATATTAGATGGGTGTCTCTAGTGTTATTTGTGACGTATTGCAATTAGGCAAGGTAATGATGAGTCGTTGGCTACGGTGGGGAGAGGGAAGTCAGAAAGGTGAGCGATGGGAGTTTTCATTTTAACCTATTTCTGATCTTCTGATCTAGGAGGAATACCGCAATTCTATGCCTGCATCCAGTTTCCAGCAGCAGAAGCTGCGTGTTTGCGAGGTTTGTTCTGCATACCTCGGTCTCCATGACAACGATCGTCGTCTGGCTGATCATTTTGGGGGCAAATTGCATTTGGGCTTCATTCAGATCCGTGAGAAATTGGACCAGTTGCGGGTAAGGGCTGTAGTTACTCAGGGGTAAAGTACTCTTGTATGAAAAAAGACCTTAAAATCACTCTGGACAGTTTTGATTTTAACAATTGGGTAGACACAATAGTGGTCTAAGTCAGGGGTAGGCAACTTTGGCTGTTTTATGACTCATGGACTTCAACTCCCAGAATTCCTGAGCCAGCCTGGCTCAGCTTGGAAACCTCTCTCTTTCTCCTCAGCATGGCTGGCTCAGGAATTCTGGGAGTTGAAGTCCACAAGTCATAAAAGAGCCAAGGTTGCCTACCCCTGGTCTAGGTAAATCAGTGTTTGAACTGTCTCTTGTTCTTTAAAACTTAGAATGGGTGAATAGCCTATGTCAGACAATCCTACAGAGCAGTGGTGGCGAACCTATGGCACGGGTGCCAGAGGCGGCACTCAGAGCCCTCTCTGTGGGCACGTGCGCCATCGCCCCAGTCCTAGGCCTTCAGCTGGGTTTTATAAAACCTTTTCGCTTTAGGCCTCTACTGCCGTGTACAAAAAAAAAGGTTCAATCTATCAGCCAATTTCAACTTCTTGCGGGAAAAAAAAAGATCTTGCAAAGTTGGAATTGATTGATTGAACTTTTTAGTCCCACCCAGTCTGCCGTTACCACTGCAGCCACGCCCATCCAATGGGCCCCGCCCACCCAATGGGTCACACCCAGCCAATGGGCCACACCCACCCGGCACCCGACGATGCATAAGTGGGTTTTGGGTTGCAGTTTGGGCACTCGGTCTCTAAAAGGTTTGCCATCACTGCTACAGAGTAAGGATAGTTTCACGTTCACACAATTAAGTTCATGTGTGTGTGTAAAACTTGATTTTTCTCTCCTTTTCTCTGCTAAGTAAAATTCTTAATACTGTAATGTATGTGTGAAATGACCTCATTGAGGTGAGATGTTTTATGTAGCTGCATGGTTGTCATTAAGTAAACAGGCTTGTGTGAGTCAGATTTGTTTATTAGGATTAACAAATTTGACGCTCCTATTTAATTGTTGCCTTTGTCCATGGGATAAATCCGTAGGTTGAAATCAGAAACTTGTCGTTATCAACAGGGAAGACTATTAATCTTCTAAATTAAACACTTCCTATACTTCTCATTTTAAGGGGTAACTGAAGATGCTGTATATAAAACTAACACTTTGTCAGCCCATAAACTCGGCATAGTCAGCTGACGCCATCGCTGACTATAGGGGGCGAATCCTTGGCCCCCTCAGAGAGGGCGCGCAACTTGGGAGTCCTCCTGGATTCACGGCTGACCTTGGATGACCATTTGTCGGCCGTGACCAGGGGGGCGTTTTATCAGGTCCGCCTGATTCACCAGTTGCGGCCTTTTCTGGACCGGGACGCCTTACGNGGCCAAGCAATGTCGGCTGGCGACCCCCAGGGGGAGGGCCTTCTCTGTGGGTGCCCCTACCCTCTGGAATGAACTACCCCCCGAGATTCGGACGATTCCGGATCTCCTTACCTTCCGTCGCGCCCTCAAGACATGGCTTTTTCAGCAAGCGGACCTGGCCTAGGGAGGATTTTATACTGGGTTCATTTTAAGGAATTTGTGTCTCTATTTAAAAATAATTTTAAATAGAGACACAGCTTCTAATATTCGGTTTTTTAATCTGGTTTTACAGGGGTTTGTATTTTTATGCTTTGTATTTGTACTGTTTTTAATACGCTGTGCACCGCCCTGAGTCCTGCGGGAGAAGGGCGGTATATAAATTAAATTATAATAATAATAATAATAATAATAACACAACTCTAAAATTTGGTTTAATTCGGTTTTACAGGGGGGGATTGTATATATGCCTTTGTTTTAAATATGTTGTGCGCCGCCCTGAGTCCCGCCGGGAGAAGGGCGGCATATAAATTAAATAAAATAAATAAATAAATAAATAAATTTTGTACAGATAATTCAGTGCAGAATTCACCTGTCCTTCAAATTCTGGTTGTACTGTCTCATAGGCTCCTTTCTATGGTAAGCATCAGAAATAGTCTCAGTTCCAATTTGAACATTAATCATAATAGCACTACCAAGAATGAAAAATAAAGGAAAAATTCTGGGTATATCAAAATATTTCTTTCCAGATATTCTATACAAGAGTTTCCTAAGTTTATAAATGACAAGCATTTTATGGAGGATTTAAGATTCTTTGCAAAGAAGCGAGAGGGTGATTTTTATTTAAACAAAAGTCTTTGGGATTGTGACAATAGAAAGTCTTGCTTCGGATTACTTTTGTTTGAAATAATGAAAATTACTTGTGATTAAAAATCTCTTCCTGTCATGTCTCCCATCTCCCTATTTCCTAAGAATTCTTATAAGCAAAAACATGTCCTTTCTACCAAAAAATCTTTTTCTTCAAATAAATGGAAAATCAAGAAAGTTACATTATTCAAGAAGAAAGCATGCAACCTTTAAATAAAGAGTCCAGTTGTAACTTGTGTTTGGTAATTTATTTTTATGCAATCTATCCTATTAGTATAATTCATAGCTCAAATAGATGGAAATTTTCAAGATGGGAGGTTAATGTTTTATCCAACAAGTATATTCTTTAGGCTTTTTCTTCCTACACAAAAGTGTATGAAATGTTGTTTCCTTCACATAAAGTCATTTTCTTTTGAAATAATCTGGACTTTTGTGTTTCAGGTTGGCATGTTTTTAGATGTCTTCTTAATTTTATGGATATAGGCCTCTGTTACCCAATACTTGCTCACATCCAACACACTGTCCATTGGTTCATCTTTTTTTTGCCAATCCATGTAAAACAAAATTTGATAAAGCTCTAATCATATTTCCATGTTTTACTTATACTTGAGCTTAATTATTAAAAGCTTGTGCCATAAGAAGCAGCAATGGAATTTATTTTATATTTCCTGTTTTCACCTTATTCTGTACTGTTTTCCTTCATATCAGAGACTCTAGAAAGAGTGGAGGAGGAAAGAGCAACAAAGAAGATTAGGTAAGTAAAATATATGATGAATGATTGCAGGAACTGAGCATGTCTAGTCTAACAAAGGGAAGGACTGGGGTGAGATTATAGCAGTGGTCCAATATCTGTGGGGCTGTCACAGTGAAGAGCGAGTCAAAAGAATGGGTATCCAAAGAACCTGAACTCAGGACAAGAAGTAATGAATGAAACTTATAAATGAGAGATCCACCTTAGAACTACTAAGGAGAAAATTTCTGTCATTGAGAACAATTAATCAGTAGAAGAGCTAGCCTCCAGAAGTTGTGGTGCTCCATCACTAGAGGTTTTTAGGAATAGAATGGACATTCAATTGTTTGGAATGGTATAGGGTTCCTGCTTGAGTAGGCAGTTGGACTAGAAGACCTTCAAGGTCCCTTCCAATTCTGGTATTCTGTACTGAGTTTGTAGACAATGATCCATTTCTGGGGGGAAAACACATTATACACGCAACAGATTTTTGACTTGATTGACACAACATTTCTGTATCTTCACAACAATGTGGCTCTTTGGACTTTGTTTGGAAAGACAACATCATTTATAATGCAGACTAAATTTGTATAACTTTGCATCTGGAACTGTGAAGTGGGGCAGCTTATTATTGTTGGGAATTTCACCTTCAGCTTACCTTTCACTTCCTTTTCCTGGAATTCAACCTTTGAAGGGCGAGGCTGAGTTGATAGGATTTTGCTTGAATCACAGTCCTTAAAACACACACACACTTCTACCTAGTCTAATTTTATACCTATATTTGGAATCTCTCCATAACCAGGCTGGAGTTCTAATGTGTTGTCATTCAACTTTTCATCTGCCCTGCCCCCTTTCATAGTTATTTCACTGGCATTTATTTTGCTGAAAATGTCTCTCCTAAAACAATGCAAAACAAAGCAAACTACAGAAAGGAATTTAAACCTGGGGAATAACCTCATCTCAATCTAGTTCAAATAACATTATTTAAAAGTAAGATTGTGCACTAAATTTTTAGTATAATCAGGAGCCCAAAAGAGTGGGGAGTATATGTTTTGGACTTTGGTATTTATGCTTATTTCTGCATTACTTCCCACTTGCTATTTTTTTTAAATCAAAAACTACAACAATAACAACAATTTTTAATCCTGCCAGTTTACCTCTAATTTTGGAATTAGGTTAGAAAACATAGTCATGAGAAAAGGAGAAAATAAGGAGCCTTAGAGCAAGTAAGATTCATTATTTTTACTTACATGCTTTTAAAAAGATAAAACTACTTTGATCCCTGTTCTGTACCTACAAAACAAATCCCAAGACATTAATCTTTTGCCGGGATTTATTGCTAACTACATTTGCCATTAATGTAATTTACTTAGTAGGTATTATTCTATTTTTAATGGTTGTTAGCTGATTTAAGAAGTATTTCATTGGCTATAAATATGAGATATACATCCCAAAAATAAATCACAAATTAAAGAAGTAAACCAAAATGCAGCTTATCTGAGATGGCACTAGTTTGGCTTTGGATTTTTTTTTTTTTAAATGTGATGCACTCTGGGACCTGGATGACATTCCCAAAAGCAAGAAATGGGTTGTTCAAATAAATAAATTGAACATAGAAAGTCTGTGCAGTATATCAGATTAAAAATGCACCTCTAAAAGTACTCTTTGTGTTGTAGAAAAATCCCAATGGTGTGCGAAGAAGAAATTTTTTGGGACTATAAAGCAGTGGCACTTGTCAAAATAGTTTTAATTTTGATAATAAAAGGCACCACATTGTATCTAAAGAGACAGCTACTGAATAGATATTGCATGTTCTTCAGGAAGGACTGATTCTCAGAGGATTTTTTGCTGGCAAGAAATGAGGACTGCTAGATGGAAGGTAGAAGGAGATGGATGTACAGCTTGAGAAAAAATTATTTCCCCATTCCTCGGGTGTTTAAAGATCCTGTTCTGCTGTAGCACACAATCTCTGGCAGTGAGGCAAAGAGGGCATTCAGCTGGAGTTGACAATCCTAGGAAGGAAGGCTGAGCATGACAGATTTTTGCCTGTATTTATA